TCGCATAATTACGAGAATGACGTCGCATAATTACGAGAATGACGTCGTATAATTACGAGAATGAAGTCGTATAATTACGAGAATAAAGTTGTACGAGACTTTGTTTTTTTTACAGCTGTCTTTTTTTCACGAGTCGAATCCACAACGTGACCTGTCAATCAATCCAGTAGGCGTGTCAGCAAAAGACGCTAATGAAGCTAACTGCAGAGAGCTAAAAAGTCTCGTACAACTTTATTCTCGTAATTTTATGGCTTTAATGTTTTGTTTGTTTGTTTTAGCATGGCCCTAAAGCTCCGTCATAATTTCCAGATAAGCACGCTTGAGAGAGGTTAGATTTCTTTTGTTTTGTTCTTCTGGTCAACAGTTTGTTGAAAAGTTGTTTTTATCAGTGAGAATATAATACAGTGTTTAAAACATGTTAGTTAATAACGGTTTTATGCTCAGCAGCTGTAATAATGAATTGAACACAGTGATTAAAAGTTAAAACATTCTAAAAGTTGACGTTTCTTTACACATTTTGTAGCATGGTTTGTGGGTTTGTGAGGGGGGCCTCAGCCAGAAGTTAATGCTGTTAGAGGGGCCATGGCATGGAAAAGTTTGAGAACCCCCATTTTAGATTATTACGTTAGAGATGACGTTAAATTCAAGTCTCTTTCATTCAAAAACCACACTGCAAGATAAATATGAGACTCCACATCGTCTTGTGTCATGACTCGGACCTTTCTGCAGAGACGGAAGTATCCCCCAACACCGGCCTGAAGCTTGTTCTTGGTCCCAGTTCAGTTAAACTGGACACTGCCCCCTGAAATAAAATAAAAATATTTAAAATGTATCACCTTTCCATCAAAGTGTTACAGATAATTGTGGGGAGGAACAAAAGATGACATCTGTTTCTTCTGTACACGTCTACTGCGCTTACAGAGAACCTCAGCAGCGTCTTGGGTCCGACCACGATGAGAGGTTTGCGGAAGTTTCGGATCATCTGCCTCCTCAGCAGGTGGAAGTACTGGGCGGGGGTGGTGGGGTTCACCACCGCCATGTTCACGTTGTCACCATCCACGCCCTCCTCTTTACTGTCGCACATCTGATGGACCCAAGAGGGCAAGTTCACTATTCACACATCGGGTAACAAACACACATATAACTAGACAGTGTCCTGTTTAAAATGAAATTAGTTATATTTGTTATTTTACCACAAGTATGAGATTTGAGCTTCTAAATCCGTCATTTAGTGCCTCAGTGAATAAAAACTCATCTTCGTAAGGATCCGGTCTCGTTGTCTGTTGATGCAGTCTTAAGTAGCATTATCTCAGCAAACTTGATATTGGCTTAAAATCGGATCTGTGCTTCCTCTGCATGATGAATGCTGGCGGTTGTGAAGCACCAACACTGAGGTCTCTGCTCCTGGTCATGTACACAGTATACTGTGTACTTTTACTAAGGTCATGAGCTCTTCACAGATGACGCAGCTCCCGTCTCTAAGGCTGAGCCCAGCCACCTCCTGGAGGAAGCTGACTTCAGCTGCTTGTATGTGGGATCTCTTTCTTCTGGTCATGATCCACACCTCCTGACTCAGAGTTGAGATGTAGATGAACCAGAAAACCAAGCGCTTTGCTTTTCACCTCCGCTTCTTCTTCACCAAGACAGACCTGAGCAATGGCCTCATTACTGCAAACGAGACCCCCAAAACATCTCCCGTTCCATCACTCCTGAACAGCCTCCACACCAGGCGAAGTCTCACCCTGACCTTAGTAAAAGTACACAGTATACTGTGTACATGACCTTAGTAAAAGTACACGGTATATAGCGTTCTCTAATGGAGCATCATCAAGTCCAACGGTATTTCTGAATGAAGACAGGGGGTTTGACAACTTTTCTGTATTTTACTTTTAGAGAGGTTGTCAAATATATGAATAAATTATAGCACAGAAAGTACTTTAAAGAGTATAAATTACCTTGTTGTTGTTTTTTTTAGACATTTCTCCCCTAAAATGGTTATTTCATTCAAAGGGATTATATTTACAGGATTTCAGCTCATGTAGTTTTTTTTTAAATACTATAATTTTTTTTATATTCGATAATTTATTAAATTACATTTTTCACAGTAGTTGCCTCAGTACGGCTCTAAATATAATCAAGTTTAGCTCATCCAAACAGACAACAGCTTGTTATTGCTAAAACACCGTATAGAACTGAATACAGCAGATATTTATGATAGAGAGAACTTTTAGTGAGTTTGGAAAGAAAATTTTAAAATTAAACGGAGACAAACATCTCTGCTCTAATCTGGGACATAAATATTAATCTTTTAGCGTTAATATTTATTTATAAAAACTAAAGCAGCAGAAACAGTGAGAGAAACTCAACAGGCTGCGCGCTCCCAGGGCAGTGCACGTATCTCCCTCTGACCCAGAGTTCAGTGACGTGCGCAGGTTGCACGTGTCTGTACGATGATGATGCTCCGAACACGTTAACATTTAATACAAAGTTAGATTTTAGATACAAACGTCCCAGGAGGTCAGGGCACGGAGTGGGAGGTGGGGGTGGGGGCAGGGCTCAATCTGAGTCGGATCCTGCCGGAACAGGATCCGGGAACTCTCTTATTTTGAAAGGGTGCGTTCCAGCAACTGTTTGCTTGGATCCAGTAACTCTCAGGCTTACTAATAATAAAGTTATGAACAACTACCTTGAACAAATAAAACTTGTATTGGATATGTAAACTGAAAATAATTATATAAACACTAATTTTAAACACAACAGACGATAACATGACTTAATATCACGTACGATCATCTCCCCCTTCAAGTAGCATTTCTGCCTCTACCCTGAAAAAAATCTCCGCTCCTATAAAAGTGGTGGGGGATGAGTGCCGAGGCAGTCGTATGCAGGCAGGAGGAGTCCAAAGGCAGCGCAGACAGGTGTCTGGTGGTTTCACATGGAGTCGGACAACAAGCAGGGACACAGTCAGGCTCAGTTCCGAGCCCAACTTTCCATAAAATGACCATAAAAGTTGGGCTTTGATAGGCTCAATCTGTGATTCTGGTTCTGTTTATTGGTTGACAGTAGTGTCAGTTTAATATCTACATCATTATTGGATTGGATGGCTTTAACTTGACCACAGCAACACACTTTCTCTTCCACCTCCTCATTTTTACAGATGATAGAAATCAGTCGTGGCCCCGTTCAAATAGACAGAAATCTGTTGTGTCGATGGAGAACTTTAATCCATGCACACACCTCGAGGCATGCTTCAGACTTATCCAGAAAATATTCCACGCGTGTTAGGACTTGAAAGTTACTCATCTCGGAGCAGCTATGGTGTCATTTGTGAACTCACGAGAAGAAGCGACCTGGTTTACAGAGCACAGCTGGGTATGATGGTAGTGCGGTGGTCACACACACCTGCAGGAAGCGCTCCATGCGGCACGACGAGTGTTCGGGTCCGGCTCCGTCGTAACCATGAGGCAGCAGGATCACCATCCCGCACTGAAGCAGCCACTTGGCTTCACCTAGGAACACAATCATTTAGGTTTGTACATAAAGATTCTCACGTCTTCGTATAATTTTATGGCAAAGCCGTCAAGAGGTGGACCTCCTGAGATGAACGTGTCGAAGATGATCTGTGCGCCGTTGAAGAAATCTCCAAACTGAGCCTCCCAGATGGGCAGAAGCATCGGCTGGGAGATGCTCATGCCGTATTCGAATCCAAGCACCGCCTCTTCGGACAGAGGGCTGTTGCACACCTGAACGCATGCAGACAGGACAGGAAACGTTGTGGTGCACGTTGGCCTACAAACCCAGTTCCTACAAACCCAGTTCCAACAAACCCAGTTCCAACAAACCCAGTTCCTACAAAAGGTGGGACGTTACCTCCAGGAAGCCCTTCTGCTGGGGGCTGATGTGGTTCAGAGGGACGTACGTGTCGTTTGTGTCCTGACACACAACCATGGCATGTCGCTGACTGAACGTGCCTCTCCCAACATCCTGCCCACTTATTCTAATGTTGAAACCTGTAAAATAAAATACATTTAAAAGAACAAATCACAGTTTAGACTCCAGTGATCCTCAGACTTTATCAGAGCGTCTGACAGACCTTGGCAGAGGAGCGAGCCGAAAGCCAGAGCCTCCGCTGTCGACCAGTCTAGTTTGGTTCCCTCCTCTAACTTCTGCAGTCGAGCCTGATTTAAATGACAAAATAAAAAGTTTCAGCTTCTGCAGCAATAACCACAACTTTTAAACAAACACCTCAAAGATGCCAGCCGTACCTGAACATGAGTTTTTAGGAGGTGGCTGTGTAGCTGAACTTCTTCGGAGATGTCCACAGACTTGGCTCCGACAAACTGCAGCAGCGGTACGGGCACCCCCGTGTCCCAGGTGGTGACTTTGGCCTGGGGCTCTGCTAGATCCCCCCAGCGGCCCTGCAGGTTGGTGGGTGGAGGGGTGTACAGAGTCATGTTGGACAGCTTGTCGTTGAGCATGCCGTAGAACTGAGACTTGATCTCTGCTCTCTCCTCTCCTGTCATCAGACCCTCTGAGATCAGCTGGTCAGAGTAGGAGTCAGGAACGCTCTTACGGGATCTGAAAGGACACGGCGATGCAAAAACATTGACTTTACAAGCTCTTCTAGGTTATGAAACATTAAAAAAGTCCCATATGTAAGGAAGCATTTAGGTCTTTCTGCGCATCAATTTAAGAACTGTCCAAATGTTGACGACGTTCAGACAACAGCTCTGAGGTCGATGAGGTCACATGAGCAGACCTGATGATCTTGTACATGGCTGGGTTAGTGAAGAAGGGCTCGTCCAGCTCATTGTGGCCCCACTGACGGTAGCAGATCAGATCCACGACGATATCTTTCCTGAAATGCTGCTGATAGTCCACAGCCAGCCGAGCGGCTCGCAGCACCTCCTCAGCAGCATCACCGTTCACGTGGATCACGGCACAGTTCACCATTTTACCTACGAGGAAAATATTTATTAGTAAAACAAACATTGCTTACCGTCTGCATGATTAGAACAGACTGATGCAGACGTGTGTGCGGGCTTCCACTCACCAACATCACTGCAGTACAAAGAGGACCTTCCTCTGTCCGACGGAGTGGTGTAACCCACTTGGTTGTTCACAATGAGGTGGATGCTCCCACCGACTCTGTAGTGGGGAAGGTTTGAAAGGGTCAAAGTTTCAGGAACAATTCCTTGACCGGTGAAGGAGCCATCACCGTGGATCTGTGGAGAACGAAGACACCAGAAGCTCTCAGGAGGATTCAGAATAAGTTTTATTATCATTGTACCAAAACACAGTGAGATTATGTTCGTACAGTCGTCAGAAAGATGGACGGAGTGCACGTTGCTGCTGCTCATAAGAGCACGGCCCCTTATTCTTTTAGATAGAAACTTTAGATAGAAACTACCAGCAAACACATTTATAACACATTACATACTTTATACATTTGACAGCAAGATGGAGAGATTTGTCCATGAAACACTTCCAGATAGCACCATTGTCTTGATAAGATGTTGATGTCAGCCGGTACAGCTCTGATAAGAATTCACAGAAGTTCTTGGGGGTGGGGGGTTGCGATAGACAGAGCTTTCTTAGTTTACACATATCCCAGCAGAAATTTGATAAGTCGGCCTGCTTCGAGGCCAAACATGGGAGTCAGATTCAGATGAGTCACAGTTGTTGATTTTTTTCAGGCAGACTTATTTCTCATCATCCTCGAGCCCTACTAGTACTTTTGATCCAAAATGACCAGATTTGTGGGCATTCCACCGATTCGTGCTTATTAGCTCCCTCCAAGGTCGTTCCCACATTCTGAGTCCCAGAAGCCACAAGTGGCCTGTGATTCTCACAAATCACTTCCATCTTATGGTTTAGCTCATAAATCAGCTGATTTTGAGTGCTCCAAGCACGAACCAAACCTTCGCACAGGGTCGGCAGCTTTGCCATGATCGAAACTGCTGCTGCCATTCAGCTACTTCATTAAACAGAAAGTTAAATCAGGACATCCTTGACCAGCCTGCTCTGTGGTCTTTAAAGGCACAATGGAACGAACCAACCTTAATGTCTGAAAATCATCACCACCATACGACCCATAAGATTTAAGCTGAACAAAAAGTTTTTTCCTTAGATGATATACTGATTAAATAGAAATGTGTTCTGGTAAAAGGTCTTATTCCATCAGGGAGATGTAGAAGCAGGTCCTCGTGTCTCTTGGCTGTCCAGCACCAGGGTTTATGTTGGTGTTTCGATAAGTTTATTCCAGTCCATTCATTTCCTGTTATTAGAAATCTACGCCATCAGACCGAACATGTCCCCACAAGGACCGAAGGGAATGAAAACGAAGAAGTGGTGAAGAAAACCATTTATGTCAAACAAGAAAAAAACACTTTGAAAGGAGGAGAGGGGCTCAGCTTTCTGCATCAGCATAAAAACTATACCGGAGATTGAACAACCAACTGACATATTTTGTGTATTTATTATCAGGTAAAACCTCACGAGCTGATGTTTATTCTTAGTACCGTACACGTCACACCGCCGTATAAGTCGCATCTGTCCAAATATGTCTAATAAAGTAGAAAAATCCATAAATATGTTGCTTCACCGTATAAGTTGCATCTATTATGCGTCACCGCTGACAACCCAGAAACGTGGGCCGGTGTTGTGCCAAAAATCAATTGGCTGCCAAATGGTGGACGCGGGAGCATGCACGGGAGGACTTTAACAAGAATTTAACAAGATTAACACTTAAAAACAATTATTTGTTCACTTGAAATTACAGTAAAGGTGTGTCTCAGTCCAACTTTTCCTTAATAAATGCACTTTGACGGTCAAATCAGCTGCATTTCAAAAGCTGATTCGCGGCCGCGGGAGCGTGCACGAGAGGAATTGCTGTGTATGTTTTTTTAATTTAACAAGATAACCACCTAAAAACATTTAATTGTTTGCTCGGATTTATAGTAAAGGTGTGTCTCAGTTGAACTTTTACTTAATAAATGCACTTCAATGGTCAAATCAGCTGCATTTCTCCGGGGCGGCCCAGCTAAATGAAGCTGATTTGACGTTTGTTCCAGGCAAGCTGGATGAAGGTGGCAGGCTATGGCAAGCTGATTGTGTCATTAATAGCCACTTGTACCTATTACATGACACAACAACATGCCAAACTACTCCAGTGCCATCTAGCGGCTGACAATGGTAGTGTTCGACATTTTCAGTCAGAATGAATGAAAACGGTCAGATCTCAGCCAAAAATCGGTTTTGAAACATGGGAAGAAAAAAACAAAAATAAGTTGCAGGATACGCAAATTATGCAAAAAACGCGACTTATTGGGCGAAAAATATGGTAGTCAAACTGCACCTTTTATTGATTTTGGAAAAACATCCGTTTTTTTTTTTTATTGCCTGACATTGTAAGAAAATGATGTTTATGTAAGAAAATGATGTTTATCCGTGACTGTACGTGTGTCTGTCATGTTAGCAAAAATAACGCCTGAACCAGAGGAAGAAGGATTTAGTTTATCAGACAAGACAAATACCTTCTTCAGCAATAAAAAAAGCCCAGTTGTCTTCAAATCAGTTTGGTAGGAAAATCTTTTTAGGTGAGACATTCCAACTACAAGAGTTTTGTGGTGAGAACAAAACAAAAAGTGTAATCTTTGAAATGCATCAGACTTTAACTTAAAACAACAAGATCTGCAACACAAGTCAACTACTCCCTCAGACTACAGCTCTGCAACACCAGAGTGTGGTGCAAGTTGTGATGCAGTACCTGCAGACAGACGACCTGGTCCCCAGGCTGGGCGTTCTCCTCCGGTGAATAGTCTCCTTCTTTCCTGAGCTGCTGTCTGGCCCGAGTTTTCCCCTGAGCCACGGGGTTGATGGCCTCCAGGTGGGACGGGTTGGGCAGCAAGCTGACTTGAAGAGGACTAGCTGCTCCCAAATCCAAGTCCACCGAGGAGGTGAGGTGGGACAGAACGTCCCCGATGGCTGGCGAGATGTCGGGGAACTCGCTGAGGCCTCGCATTTTACGGAACATAAGCTTGAGAGAAGAGAGTTGCCAGGTGTTATCTCAGCCTGGATCTCTCTCTGCACAGCAAACCGTGACCGAACGTCCTTACAGAACATTAGCTCATCGTTAGTCAGCGGTGGTGTGTCTAACCTCTGGAGGAAACTTCAGCAGGCCGGTCAGGAGGTTGAGTCGCCCCCTGTGAGGCATCCCGATGACGATGTCGGTGACTCCGCTGTGGGCCGACTGGTGGAAGAGCTCGTAGAAAAATCCCATCATGCTCTCTGCTCCTTCTCCTCCGTAACGCTTCACAGTAGCAAACTTTGTGGCCAGAAAGTGGTCAAATTCCTACAAGTTGCAGAAATTAGATTGGATAAAACATGCTGGCCTTCTTCCCTCACCCAGCATGTAGGTTGTACCTTCTCCTGCCTTCTTGGACCAACCTGAGACTCCAGCATGAGCTTAGCCAGGTGCTTCCTCTCCTCTGGGGAAAAGTCTGTTCTCTTGAGCTCCTCGAAGCGATCGGCGAACCACTGCCTCTCCTCCAGACTGCTGAGCTGGCCCGTCTCCACCGACAGGTGCCCGCAGTAGGTTTCCTCCAGGTAGGCCTGAACTTCTTCCACCGAGGCATGCGGCTTCCCAAAGTGTCTCAGACCTTTAGGAGAAAACCCACAAAGTACACCTATAGTTAGGTTTGCACTCAAAATGGAAAACTTACAGACACAAGCTAAGAGTAACTGACAGGAGACGGCATCATCTGGATACTTTGAAGGGATGTTTTACTGTAAATACCTGAAGCTATCAGACCAGTGGTGGTTTTGTCAAGTAATCAAAAATAAAGTCCTAGCATTCCTTGAAGGAACACGTCACATCATAAAGTATTTATTACCGTATCTCCCGGCGTATAAGTCGCAGGACTGACAAATCTATGCAAAGAACTGCGACTTATATACTTTTTTCCATATTCATAACAAAATTTTTGACTGATGCTTTAAATTTTGAAGAACTGCAACAGCGAGTCCTCCCGTGCACGCTCGCTTCACTCAGCTGGTGCAGGTGGAGGTAGAGTTGCATTTGGGCCCAAAAAAATCCAACCTGACCCGGCCCCAGCAGCACGTAGCCATCATTTCCGAACCCCACCCAACAAATTAACAGTTATTGCATGTCCGAACCTGGAACCCCCCCGACATTTTTAATTAAGCTTTGACTACTTGTATAGTTGTTAACGGTCGACAGATACACGCAGCTACGTGAGCAGAAGATCGGAGCTGAGGGGGTGTTTGTCCTTTCATGACCGTCAAAGCACATTAAATCCCTGCTTCTGCCTGCACTCTGCATTATTCAAACATGGACCCTGCTCTGACATGTCTGCTTTGGGATCTCACCTGTTTGGGTCGTCGGCCGTGTGCAGCGGCTGAATGAACGTCCATTTGGGCTGATGGATCGCTGCCTGGGAGGACAGTCCCATCTGAAGCTTAACTGAACTTTTTACCTCTGTCAAGGCCGATCAGCACGCAGTCAAATAGCTGCATGCAGCTGATGATTGTATGGCAAGCCATGTTGCCATTTAATTGGATAGTCAATCAAAAGCCTGACACCGGCCCGCATATTAAGCACATTATTATGGCCCGGCCCTAATCTGGGCTGGGCTCAGGTTAGAAATGACAGCTCTAGGCAGCGAAACGCTGGAGAGATTGCGGCTCCGGCCACGATGGATGGATGGATGGATGGATGGATGGATGGATGGATGGATGGATGGCACCATCCAGGTGAAATTAAGATGTTTTGGCCATTAAATAAATGCATATTAAATGAGACGGGTCAGCGGGGACTCATAATAAATTTGACTTCTACAAGTTTTCCCATTCATGTCGTTTTTTTTTGACTGATGCGACTTGTACTCTGGAAAATACAGAACACACATGAGACGTAAAACATCTGTTCGCTCATGTGGTCGAGAGATGTTCTTTATTGCATGCACATTTTATACTCCAAGAGAAACTACAGTGCAGAGCGCTCTCCACTGCAGCGCACGTTGCACTGAAACAGAAGTGCAGCGACATCACAGCTGGCAGACATGGACGTCTATTGTCAGCTGAAGATGGAGGAGATAGAGGAGGAAGAGCCGTTTGTTCTCTTGTTAACCGAGGAGAAGTCATTTTGTTCATTTGGGAATTTGTCGCGAAAAGACCGCCACCTTTTACAACAGACGATGCAAGAACATTTCCCTACGCTTCCCGGTCGAGGCGGACTACCTCCCAACCAGCACAGCCAAGGAGCTGCCTGTGTCTCTGTGATTATATTAACGTGCTGTTCCCATCCACAAGTTCTTTGTCTTTATAAGGTTTGTTGGAGCAGTTGCAGCTAAATGAGAACAGTGAAATTCATTGGTGCACATCTGTGAGAAAAAGTTCTGTCAGGAGCTTATGCAGAGAACAGGTTCTTAGAGCAGGTGCGAGAACAAAAATGTAATTTATGTCACGTAATCACGTGAGTGAGAAATATCACAATAGTATAAATCAGACTTTCATTTTAATACTTTACATGAAAGGCAAAAGGAAATATGTAATCATTCAATGAATACTAGGCTTTTTAAATCCTCTTTAAAAAAAATGAGATTAAGAAATTAGGGAAATTCAGTTTGATTGTTTAATACATAGGTCCCATTAGACAATGAAAACTAGTCCTACCAGAAAAGCATCATGTTAGTAGGATACCTGTAACCAGTGTTACCTGTTCACAGAATGAAAACAAGACAAAGAAATAAAGATGGAATGACACTGAAAAGTAAAGTTCTGATCACAGGCAGGGTACATAAACAGTTTGTTTGTACACAAATGACTATATCTGTAGTTCTAAACACATTTACTGCACAGTTTTATCTATTTTGCATTTAGGTTTTAGGACAAATAACCTATTTAGATAGCTGGTATTGCTGTTAAAATAATCAAGTATTAATCAATAATTAAAGTTTAATCGATTATTAAACCAAGTGTTTTAATTATCACGTGTTCAGTGGTTTAGGAGTGGTTCATATTCATTTCTAGGATTTAAACAAGGTACATATAAAAATATTTTTGAGGCAAATTTTTTTTCCCCCACCATTCATTCAACCTTTATTTATACAGGTCAGTCTCAATGAGACACGAGGACTCGTTTACAAGAGACTTTGTAAATTAATGGCAGCCTGTGGCACAGTTCAACCTGACTGATTTTAACTCAGGGTTCATTCATAAAAATTAACAGAGCTATAAACATATGAACAAATCAATGTTAGCCATGGGTACTGCACATGCAGGTCCTTATCAAAAAATTAGCATATTGTGATAAAGGTCATTATTTTCCATAATGTAATGATAAAAATGAAACTTTCATATATTTCAGATTCATTGCACACCAACTGAAATATTTCAGGTCTTTAATTGTTTTAATACTGATGATTATGGCATACAGCTCATGAAAACCCAAAATGCCTGTCCCAAAAAATTAGCATATTTCATCCCACCAATGAAAGACAAGTGTTTTAATACAAAAAACGCCAACCTTCAAATAATCATGTTCAGTTATGCACTCAATACTTGGTCGGGAATCCTTTTGCATGAATGACTGCTTCAATGCAGCGTGGCATGGAGGCAATCAGCCTGTGGCACTGCTGAGGTGTTATGGAGGCCCAGGATGCTTCGATAGCGGCCTTAAGCTCATCCAGAGTGTTGGGTCTTGTGTCTCTCAACTTTCTCTTCACAATATCCCACAGGTTCTCTTTGGGGTTCAGGTCAGGAGAGTTGGCAGGCCAATTGAGCACAGTAATACCATGGTCAGTAAACCATTTACCAGTGGTTTTGGCACTGTGAGCAGGTGCCAGGTCGTGCTGAAAAATGAAATCTTCATCTCCATAAAGCTTTTCAGCAGATGGAAGCATGAAGTGCTCCAAAATCTCCTGATAGCTAGCTGCATTGACCCTGCCCTTGATAAAACACAGTGGACCAACACCAGCAGATGACATGACACCCCAGACCATCACTGACTGTGGGTGCTTCACACTGGACTTCTGGCATTTTGACATTTCCTTCTCCCCAGTCTTCCTCCAGACTCTGGCACCTTGATTTCTGAATGACATGCAAAATTTGCTTTCATCCGAAAAAAGTACTTTGGACCACTGAGCAACAGTCCAGTGCTGCTTCTCTGTAGCCCAGGTCAGGCGCTTCTGCCGCTGTTTCTGGTTCAAGAGTGGCTTGACCTGGGGAATGTGGCACCTGTAGCCCATTCCCTGCACACGCCTGTGCACGGTGGCTCTGGATGTTTCTACTCCAGACTCAGTCCACTGCTTCCGCAGGTCCCCCAAGGTCTGGAATCGGCCCTTCTCCACAATCCTCCTCAGGGTCCAGTCACCTCTTCTCGTTGTGCAGCGTTTTCTGCCACACTTGTCCCTTCCCACAGACTTCCCACTGAGGTGCCTTGATACAGCACTCTGGGAACAGCCTATTCGTTCAGCAATTTCTTTCTGTGTCTTACCCTCTTGCTTGAGGGTGTCAATGATGGCCTTCTGGACAGCAGTCAGGTCGGCAGTCTTACCCATGATTGCGGTTTTGAGTAATGAACAAGGCTGGGAGTTTTTAAAAGCCTCAGGAATCTTTTGCAGGTGTTTAGAGTTACGTCATTGATTTAGATGGTTAGGTTAATAGCTTGTTTAGAGAACCTTTTCATGATATGCTCATTTTTTGGGACAGGCATTTTGGGTTTTCATGAGCTGTATGCCATAATCATCAGTATTAAAACAATTAAAGACCTGAAGTATTTCAGTTGGTGTGCAATGAATCTGAAATATATGAAAGTTTCATTTTTATCTTTACATTATGGAAAATAATGACCTTTATCACAATATGCTAATTTTTTGAGGACCTGTATATAAACATAAAATTAGAGCACGAGTCTGAAGTATTTCAGTGCAGTGCTCATTCCTGACCACACCACTAGGGGCGCTGTTCGGAAGGTGGTCTTTTCCAACCGTTAGGTTATTTAAATATAAAAACACATTATAGTCTTTAATAGTCACTGTTTATAATAACGTGTTGTAGAAATATTTAATTCTTTGACACTTAAAAATGAGAACTGGGTGTGGATGGTAATTTTAAGCCGCTGGTACGACACTTCCGTATTTCCTATCTGGCAACCCTGCAGGGAGATGATTTGTGCTCCTCACCTGTTGTGTTCAGGGTCCCCCCCACGCTGCCGGCCAGCAGGTCGATCTCCGGGACTCCGTCACCAGCAGGCTGCTGGGGCAGTAAGGGGTTGATTTTAGCAGCTCTGTGTCCGTGTGTCCTGTACGCCTCCACCAGACGAGCGAGTCCATGATCTGAAGAAACACGAGCCGTCAGAACCGTCGGTACCAGCTAGATCACTTCCGCTAAGCTGCTACACCACGAGAGCTGGTGTGCACGGAAACATCATGACAAACACGACACGTAGCGCAGCGTGATCAATAAGTAATACTGGTATTGAGCCGGACGCCTCTTCCTTCAGCAGGCGACGCTAAATAATCCACTTTCACTCCACACTGACCTCGATTGAGAGCAGCGATCAGGTCGAGCTGCGCGCGCTGCTCCCTGCCGAGCCGCGGCTGCTTGGGTCGGTATCCGTACACTCCTCTCTCGGTGTGGTAACGAGCCGCGCTCCGTGGCACTCTGCTCAGCCACGTCCTCAGCAGCAGCGCGGCCGACATGTTCTCTGCTGCGGAGCGCTTTAATCCTGCACGTGACAAGAGGCGGCCATACTGCGACCCCGGCTCGACGTGGTGGGAGGAGAAGCCGCATCCGGCACCGATTGGCCCGGTCCTCCTGCCCACGTTTCGCAACACATCACCCGTACTTATCCGATACATCTCATTTACTTTACATCTTTGACATAAAGCGACGTTGTGTTAATTTTTTAAACATTTTAAAAGCTCGTTTGGACGGTCCGCTACTGTAAAGATGACTGTGCTGCGTTCAAGTGCTTCTTGAAAACATAAGCTTAATCCACAAACCATAAAAATATAATACTGTGCCGTTTTTATCTGCATTTAATATATATTCACAATAATTACATCTGCGTACTTTAACTCGGACTTGTTTTTCACCTTTTTAGCTAGCATTTTGCAACTTTTAGCTGCTATAACCTTTTCTGTATTTAGCTTATAGCTTTCAGCTAACTCTTTAGTACTTTTGGCTTTTAGCTTCCTTTTGGCTAATTTAAGATTCTAGCCACTTTTATTTTCAACCTGAAAGATTTCAGCACAGCTGTTTGTCATTTATGCTACTTTTATTTATATTCTGCTTTTAGTTGTAACTTTCAGCTGCTTTGAGAAGTTTTAACATTCATTCACATTACATCGACAATAAAGGTAATTACTTCAGTAGTTTATTTATTATGAACTGCACATAATTAAAAAGGACTGGAGCGTAAACCCAGGAAACGTTTATAGTTTGACCCAAAAACAATTACAGAAATCCAAGACTAATTTTAAATACTGTACATGACAATAAAAGGTTTCTTAGGACGTCTCAAGCGGATCTTTATTTTAATAAAATGGAAATGTTAGGCGTGTAAGTGGCTCAAAGACAAGGCAGTAGTTGAATAAATAAAACCAGATTTATTAAATCCATATTTCTACAGAGTGTTGCCTTCAGGAACATGTTTCTTCTGTAAGCTTTACACCTCTGGGTGGAGGTGTTGGACGAATTTCATTACTTTAAGCAGTTTTCTATTTTAGTTATGAATTAATGAGAGGCCTTTAAAACAGACTGTGTACTTTGATATTAATTTGGCAGGAAATACTTCAGCTTCATATAATTTAGTCAGTTTCTTCTCCAGACATGTCGCCGTGTGTTCAGTTTTGGTAAAAGTTATTTTTCTACAGATTTCCTTCAGAAAACACGTCTTTATTTAAGGGCGAGGCTTTTCGGCTCTTCGTCGTTGAGCTTCTTAAGATGGTAATTATTAAAATAACTCTTAAAGAACAAGTCGAGGAAACAACCTGGAACATCTCGACCAGCCTTGGTTGTTCTTAAGACCCAACAGAACCTGTTTTCACCGATATTCACAAACGGCAACTTGTTTTTTTAAGAGGGAAATGCATCGATCCTTCTGAATCTAACTTTTTATATTGAAAGAGGTGAAGCCAACAAACATATTTAATGTAAAAAAATAAAAATGTTCTGGGTTTCTTCATACAGAAGACAGCCATCAATTATGCAAACAATTACTTCTGTCCAGTGGTTCATGGGATATTTTGCTGACAGCACTGTTTTAGGCAGATTGTATAATGTGCATGTATCATGTACTACCACTACTGTGACTAGTAGATTGGAAACATTTCAAATCCAGGTCATCAGCTGTAGGTAAACCTCCACCGATGAGCTAGTTTTATTAACACGTCCAGAAATTTTGCTAACACGACGAAGACAGAAACTGAACATGCACCTCCAGCTGTGGGTGATATTTACCATCAGGAAAAAAACATGGTTTACTTCCAATTTAAAACTTTTGGCTTTAGGTTGTTTTATCCGCACTCTACAGACTTGATGCATAAAATGTATTTTAACACAAATAAACTGAAACTGTTTACCTTTGCTTTAATACTTATCAGAAAGCATTCGTTTACCTTGTTGTGACACGTGTGTTTTCACTAAACTGTCGGGGAATGTTGGTTGTTTATGGATGTTGGCTGAGAATGTTAACTGCCCATGAACCATGTGTTGAGCTGGAGCTGGTTTGGTCCTGTGCACAGCTGGCAGTCTCACACCAGTCTGTGAGCTGGGAGTATAAAAACAAGCCTCGCACACGGTCCGTGGCAGAGTCTCCTGACTGGGCTCCATGTGTACACCTCTGTACAGCTGTTGTGAAAATCAGTCCTTGCAAGTAAAGCCAGTTAAACAAATCTTGCATCATCAAATGCAGCTTGTTTTGAGTAAGATGTAGATCTTTATCCAACAAAAATGTTGATTTGTCCCCAAAAAATCAGGAAAAGAACTTGACCAGGAACCATCTTTTAAAGCTTCAGGCGACACTAAAAATGGCAACAGCAAAAAAATAAAAGAGCACAACAGAGACATGAGACACTGAGGGACATTGGGAGGGGACCTAACATGTCTTAACAGTGGACAAACACAAACGCACACAGACACACAATTCATATTAAGGGAAATGGTTTAATTTCAAGACAGAGGCAAAGAAACACACCGCACAAACACTGACCAAAAAGAAGAAAAACATAAACAAGTCTTTCGGCTACGCACTCCGCTAAAGTAGGAGGGAAACAACAAAAACCTACACAAGTTAAAAGCAAGGCTCGACTCGGTTAACTAAGACAATTATCCACACGAGTTGTCAAAAACCCTGACCGTTCATGTGGAAAGCACAAATACTAACATGAAACGTACGATTCCAGAGGATCCCAACCCTCCCCCGAAAACAAACTGAGAAACAAGTCCGAGATAAATCAGAACCAGACTTTTTGTTTTTTTAGAGGCAAAAGCAGAAAGAAGGAAAAAAATAAAATTGTTTGACTTCAACAAAAGGCCAAAAACTGGTCACAGGCCTCATTAAAGAAGCCAGACAATATTAGTTTCCTTTCATTTCCCCCAATATAAAAAGCTGCACTGGTACAAAATACGTATTAACAACCAGTTGTAGAAATTTGCCTTTTGTTTTTAATTTTTTTAATTTTTCCAAACCCACCCAAAAAAATTTAAAATAAATCAACGGGACTGTTTCTAACAGATCACATGAAGATGCACTCACTTTGGCTTTCCTTGAGACAAGACCAAACACCTACCAACGGATCGGTGGTTATCAGACAAGGGTTTTTGTTTTTAAGCTTTTGTCAGACCAATATTTATAGAAATGCTCACCACACCCAGAAAACAAAACACTCCAAAAAAAAAAAAAAAGTGACAAATAAGTGATTGTTAGAGCCGATCAGGATTTGATGGAAGCCCCTGAAGTGAGTTCCTGTTGGGACAAATGCGACGAAACGCGCTTTTTATTTTGGTTATTTTTGCTCTCATTTCACAGTAATCCCATAAAACTGCGTCGCCACGCACCTTCGCTTGTGTCACAAACACTCGTGCACTTTTAAATCGCTAAACCCAAATTTTCAGCTCTGTTTCCAAATAATAATAAAACAGTTGGTATGGCCAAGTGTTGCAGCGCTCGTGTTCACCAACAGAGACGGTTAATCAAATGTATAAGGGAAGTTTATTGTTTATCTACAATGTTTTAAAACCAACCAACTGTTCAAAATGAGTACATCACAAATACAGTTACCAACAACACAGAGTAAAGGGGGAGGGGGTGAGGAGAAGGGGGGACATCAGGTGATAAGAGTTTTCATGACACTGGCATAAACAGACCAAAGGAGAAGAAACAAAGAGGCGAACTGCAGCAATCTAAACCAAGGCCCGATAAGAATGTGTAGGCAGTTTCTAGACGCATATATGGCACTTTGAATATTGTATTGCATTTGGATAGAAAAACACTGTAAAAAGCACATGCCCATAGTAGAATCAGAGAAAAACAAAGGATCATCGGTGGTACTTTGAAAACGTTTGGGATCAAAACCACACACACACACACACACACACCACATTCTGTCAAAGTGTTCAACTCCCACAATTGTGCTTTACGTTCCCTCACAAAACCAGAACACTCCTCAGTTTTTATTGATGGGTTTTAGTGGAAACAAAAAATCCAAACGTAAAAAGGTCAAATAGTGAAAACTGTGCATTTTGTGTCTTGCGTTGTTGAGTTTCAAACACATATAAACCCCTGAGTTGACAACTCTTTAGCGCCACCAGGTAAGCAGTTTTTGGGACTGTTTTTTAGTTTTTTCCTCTAACCAGGGCATTTTTTAACAATGTGTAGCACGACAGAGAGAGATTTCACCCTGATAAAAAGTGTAAACTTGGTGCAGAATAATGGAATGTTTTTGTTCACCATCGTGGTGGATTTAGTCTTTTTTTTTTTTTGCGTGTTTTAAATGTGCCGTGCGATGTAAAACTGAGACATGACTTGAAAATCAAAACAGCAGAAAGGTCGGATACAAAGCAAAGCATGCATTTAAAGTGTGCAGAGACCCGCAGGTTGAGTTGTGTCCGAATGAGCTCTTCTTCAGGGGCTCCCACAGTTACAACCACTCGGTGTGTGTCGCAGTGCGTGTGAAGAAAAACTAGATAACACAGCAAAAACAAAGTTGTGTATTCAAAAAAAAAAAAACACTCGAGTTTGATACATGGGCACTTCAACAACCAAGATAAAACAGAACTTTGTGTAGCATCTGTAGGATGAACAGACCGAGTCTTTCAACGTGGAGGCGTCCAAACTGAACCAAGGGAACATTTCAGGAGGAACTCACAGAAAAGTCAAGACGTACCGAGGAAGATGAACACTTCCCAACGCAGGAAACAATTAGCCTCAAAAAGTCTTCTTAAAAAAAAAAACATTTTTAAATGCAGAGGATTTTTTCCTTAAGTTTAAATTTACAAATACCACCAAACAGTCATGCTGATTAAATTGATTTTTAGTCCTCTTAAAAAATGTAATACACTGAACCCCCCTCCCCCCTCCAACACAGGTGACAATACAACACAAATCTACAAAAAACCCAAAGTTGTGCCTGGGTTCTGTTAGTTAAACCTCTATAGATTCAATGGTATAAAATATAGGTAATCTAAGTGTGCATTTAAACCACAGATTGTCTATTTTGTGAATCAGTTCTAAAAAAGTTGACTCATGTAGGTAGTCATTTCTCTCAGAGCAAATGTACCTTTTATTGTGCCATCGATCGTTTAAGAAAAAGGTAAATACACTGAATCTTCTAAATGAAAAGACAAATTCAAAGAGCGTAATGTAAATCTTCACACTGGCCGCATTATGTAGAGATCCATAGAGGGATTTCCCTGGTCAAGCCTTTCAGAAGTGTTGGAAAGTGGTCTGTACTTTTGAGTTTTCTCTTTTAAAGAAGCCAAAATATTGCTCATGGCACCAGATAGCACAGCTGTGTGCCAATCCCTGTATTTAACTTTCAAGTGAACTTTACTGAGAGAGGCATTAAAAAAAAAAAAGCAACATAAAAAAGGTCGCTATATTAAAAATTAGAAATCCCACAGGTTTTTTTTATCCCCCTCTTAAAACATTTGCAACCAAAAAGAAAAAAAAAATCTAAATGAAATCATTTTCACATTTAATTGCTTGACCTCTCTCCTGCCCGTCACATTTCTATACAGAAAAAAGCAAAGAAAAACAAAAAACATGAACGTACATGCAGAAAAATCAGGTTGAGCTAAGGTCAGGGTCAGTGGGTGGCCAGGTATTGGTCAGGCGAGCTTAGAGAGACATCACAGACAATGGTGGGATGATGAGGCCAGGGGTTTGGCTTGGCTTTCAACATCATGAAGACATGCTAGGCTAATGATGAGCAAACAGGCATGGAGATTTGTTCTAAAAAAAAGGGAACAAAAACACGAAGAGAGAGGAGAGACAGAGACAACAAAGAGAAGAGAAAGTTAGGGGCACGGCACAAGAATCATTTAGCCATGAGGCACAATAACCAACAAAAATAATGCCAGTCACCACGTACAGTTACAGACAGTAGGGTAAACACCTCCCCTCCCCCCAACGCACAAAAACAATACACAGATTTCAGGAAGTGACACCACTAGGACATATGGCAGACTCTGACATGCACATACTGTATACTTGGCACCCAGAGAGATCCATCGAGAGCCGGTCTCTTGTGGGAGACCGGGGGATGGATGGAATGACTGGAGGAAGTTAAGAGAGAAAGAGAGGTAGCCTAGCTCAACATGGCTTACATAATGACAGCACGAAGACGAGATGAGGGGAAGAAACTGAGAAGTCTAGACTGCAAAGGGTTTTCATGTTAACGGTAACACAGATGAGACAGAGCGCACGTGAAGAAGTCGAACTCAGGCTGAAGCTCGGGGCTTCGCCTCAGCCCTGGACCTGAACTCATGCTCCGCCTGTCTCACTTTGACCTGAAGGCAATGAAGTGGCAAGGAAACACCTGATGCTCTCCACTAAACATACAGCGACACCAAGTACCTCCAGCAAACACCGACTCCAGTGATCGTCATAAATAATCATATACAATAAAATATTTAATCGGGACATGATAAAATCACAGGAGTGAAATACAACAAAATGTGAAAACATCATTGCATTTTTTTCCTGTTAACCTTTTTTTTGTTTGTTTAATAAGAAAAAAGGGTGTGTCTCCCTCCTGTGGCGGGCTCCTGCCCCCCTGCCCCCCTGAGTCTCTGCTGTGGTGACCTTGGCCGGAGGCTGAACTTACCCTAGCAGTGCTAGCATTAGAGCTGGGGAGGGGGGAGACCCCGGCCTAGGATCAGTAGGGTTTGCTGTCGTTCTTGGAGCGCTTCAGCTGGACCTTCAGCCTCTTCATCCCGATCTGGAAACCGTTCATGGCCTGAATGGCAGCCTGCGCAGACACGGGATTGTCGTAACTGACGAACCCTGAGAACAGAGCAGAGGTGTGGGTGAGACGCACGATGACCACCTGCGGTGAGAGCATGACGACATCGTAAACATGAATTATTTCTGTTTTTCAGTAAAATGCATTTAAAGTTTCCAAACAAGAGTTGAACTGTGGTTTTTAAATATTTGGTCTAGTTAAACGAGCACATTCAAGAGATAAACCGTCAAGATGATCCCATTTCAGCTTTAGGAAATATCATTACACAAGTCCTGTTGTGAAGAATTGATTCACAACATTCGAGTAAATAAATGATAATACAACTATTTCAAAACACACAGACACACATGAGGACAGAGGAACAACCATACAATCAAAACATGCATGTTTTATAACCTTAATTCATGAATACACATTTTATAGAAGTTCAACTTGTAAGTTGACAAAATAATTTGTACAGGAGAAATTATTTCACCTTCTACAGTTACGTCACTAAGGTCCAAAGCAATGTAAAGTTTAAATCTAAAAAGTTATAATTTCTCCAGAATACAGAAAATAAGTTACGTTATAAGCAATAAGACATTTCACATGTCTGCACCTGACCTCTTTAGATCTTAATTGCTGGTATTTTTATATTTTCTGTTACATCTTGTGTGATTCCTCGTGTATGTTCCTTTGTACAGTTTCCTGCACAATCAATAAAGTTCCATCTTATCTGGTCTTATCTTAATACACTTTAAGATTAGCAATATTTAACAGCAGTAAAAGAAAAAAAAAAAAACACAAAATTGCCATACAAAACTATTAATCCCCTACAGCAAAATGTGGAGTTTATTTTAGTCCCATTACCTGAAGAGGATGATAAGAGTACAGGTGCTGGTCACAAAATTAGAAAATCATAAAAAATTATTTCAGTAATTCCATTCAAAAAGTGAAACTTGTGTATTATATTTATTTCAAATGTTTATTTCTTTTAATGTTGATGATTATAACTGACCACTAATGAAAACCCCAAATTCAGTATCTCAGAAAATTAAATATTGTGAAAAGGTTCAATACTGAAGACTCCTGGTGCCACACTAATCAGTTATTTAACTTAAAACACCTGCAAATGTCTTTAAATGGTCTCAGTCTAGTTCTGTAGCTACACAATCATGGGGAAGACTGCTGACTTGACAGTTGTCCAAAAGACGACCAGAGAGGCGAAGGGAAGGAAACGATGTGGTAGAAAAACATATACAAGCAATATGGATAACCACACCCTGGAGAGGATGGTGAAACAAAACCCATTCCAAACTATGGGGGAGACTCACAGAGTGGACTGCAGCTGGAGTCAGTGCTTCAAGAACCACCACACACAGACGTATGCAAGACAAGGGTTTCAGCTGTCGCATTCCTTGTGTCCAGCCACTCGAACAGGAAACAACGTCAGAAGTGTCTCCCCTGGGACTGCTGCTGAGTGGTCCAAAGTTGTGTTCTCTGAAGAAAGTAAATTTTGCATTTCCTTTGAAAATCAAGGTCTTAGAGCCTGGAGGAAGAGAGGAGAGGCTCAGGATCCATGTTGCTTGAGGGTGCATTCACACCAGCTTTGTTTAATCTGCTTTAATCGAACACTAGCTCGTTTTCCTAGGAAGTCCGGTTCGTTTGGGGAGGCGTGAACGTGCTATCGAACTCCGGCCCGGGCAAAATCCTAGGTCTCGGTCTGGAAGAAGAAAACTCCAGCGCGGTTCGAGTACAGCATGAATGTTAACAGACCGGGCCCCGCTCCACAAGCAAGAAGTGGAGTACAGCGCAGGACAAACAAACACGCATTTCTCTGACCTTATATGGAGCCGTCAGCTGCCTTGTGTGAAAAACAACATTCTCCATGATCTTCTGTCTCATCTTCTGCTCATGCTAAGTCCATTTTTGAAAAAAATGACAAAATATAACTCCTAAAACTGCTAAAACTTGATGCCACTTCGTTTTTATTTTTATTTACAGAAGAAGAAGACGTGTCTTCAGAGGTTTTTGTGTCGTTTCTTTCAGTAGTTCTTGGTGCAGCACCACCACAGGCGAGCGGGGGAACAGGTTGGTTCAACAGGTTGACTCGACTGCACAGTGCAGTGTGAATGCAAATGCACCAGCTCAAATGTAAACAAAAGCTCATGAATATTGGTCTTGAACCGAATCGAGTCTACCGGACTATCTGGTGTGAAAACGACCTGAGGTCCAGTGTCAAGTTTCCACAGTCAGTGATGTTTGGGTGCCATGTCATCTGCTGGTGTTGGTCCACTGTGTTTTCTGAGGTCCAAGGTCAATGCAGCCGGAAGTTTTAGAGACTTCATGCTTCCTGCTGCTGACCAACTTCATGGAGATGCAGATTTCATTTCCCAACAGGACTTGGCACCTGCACACAGTGTCAAAGCTACCAGTACCTGGTTTAAGGACCATGGTATCTCTGTTCTTAATTGGGCAGAAAACTCTCCTGATCGTAACTCCATAGAAAATCTATGGAATACTGTGAAGAGGAAGATGTGATACACCAGACCCAACAATTCAGAAGAGCTGAAGGTCACTATCAGATCAACCTGGACTCACACCTGAGCAGTGACACAGACTGATCGACTCCATGCCACGCTGCATTGTTGCAGTAATCCAGACAAAAGGAGCAACAACTAAGTACTGAGTGCTGTATATGTTCATACTTTTCATGCTCATACTTTTTATGTACATACTTTCCAGTTGCCAACATTTCTAAAAAATAATAATTTTTAATTGGTCTTAATATTCTAATTTTCTGAGATACTGAATTTGGGGTTTTCATTAGTTGTCAGTTATAATCATCAACATTAAAAGAAATAAACATTTGAAATATATCAGTCTGTGTGTAATTAATGAATATAATATACAAGTTTCACTTCTCGAATGGAATTACTGAAATAAATCAACTTTTTCATGATATTCTAATTTTATTACCAGCACCTGTAGGTTAACTTCAGGTTAACTACTTTTAGATTAATAGACTTCCTAAAAATCCATTCTCTTTGTTTTCTCCATTAAACAAATATTGCTTTCAGATAAACTATAATAATTCAAAGTTTTCTCTAAAGAGCTAACTGCTGGGCAGTAGAAGAGCCTAATTTAGTGAACACCTACCAAAGCATTTGCTCAGATTGGTCTGTTTGTCAATGAAGACTTTGGCAGAGACCACATTTCCAAAAGGCATGAACATCTGCAGAAGATCTTGGTCCCCAAACTCCTGCGGCAGGTGGTAGATGAACAGGTTGGCGCCCTCTGGCCCTACTCCATTCAGTAAGAAAACCAGTAACTCAAGTTACTTACAAACACTTGGTGCATACGTGAAGATCATCAATGCTCATTGCTGAAGTTCATCCCAGTGACCTGACTGTGTCGGTGTGGTCAGAACTACTCACCTTCCTTCTGACTGCCAGCCATGCTCTGCTGCAGCAGAGACTGGCTGTAGAGGGAGGGGAGGGCCGAGGCTGTGTACTGCTGCATCCCTGAGTAGGCCTGGGTCAGAGCGTCCATAGAGCTGGCAGCTGACCCGTTGGCCATGGAGGCCCCCAGGCCACCATTCATGGCCCCCATACCTGTGACGTCAAGGCAAACTAATGAGCTACTTACACAAAAACATTTGACACCTTCCAGAAATGTGTTTTGTTGTGGTGACAAAACTCCAAGAAGATTTTATTTTTGTAACGTCAAAAGTCTGTTACATCAATCAGCATTGAAGACACTAGCTATGTTTACATGCGCAGAATTCTTTGACCGGATTGAAATGTGTTCTGTTTGAATAATTCAAATGTATTGTTTACATGGGCACAATCTGTTCATGACGAGCGTTTACATGCAGCGGGCTTTGTTCTGAACAGCAGTACTGACATGCGCAGAGTGGTAAACTCTCCTTAAAAACAACACCGAAGAAGAAGTTCTACTTCCGGGTGAACGTAAACAAACCTGAGCACCCAAAATGGACCTGCGACAGGTTTTAATGATGGTGGAGACGTTACTGCACTCCCTGACTGAGCTACAGGTGATGGAGATCATTTTGAGCTCTTTCAGAGTTTCTAGTAGAAAAGTTGTCTCTCTCACCGACCAGTTTTGCTTCCCGGACATGCTAATATTATTAGCATTAGCCAGGCGGAAATGGCAAAGTTGCACATGTGCAGTCAGGTCAGTTTTTCACGATCAGATAAAAAGGAACAGATCAAGTGTTTACATGCGCACCGATCGGGTTACGGATCGGCGTAAACCACCCGTTTCGTTCTGATCACAAATTATATATCGGATCGCGCCGAATACACAAAAAATAACCCGAACGGAGCGTTTACATGACACACTTTTATTCCGACCGGCCATTTGATCCGGTTACTTATGTCCATGTAAACATACCCAGTGACTAAACGTTGGCCATCAGCTCAACATTGTTTGATTAAACATTAAAGGAGGATGATTCTTACCACCAATGCTGTTTGTGAGAGCGTTCAGGTTGTTGAGGCCCACAGAGGTGCCGGTCAGACCCTGCAGTGAGCCCAAAGATGCCAAGGTGTTCATCGCAGCACCAGCACTGGACCCTGCTGACCCAGCTGTTGGGGGTCAAATTAAATTAAATATTAACTTTTGGCTTCTTTACACCAAAGTGTGACAAATGTGAATGAATGACATGACAGTGAGGGAAGCATTAAAACGTTTGTCTTAATGAGGAGTGGCCATTACAAAAACTTGTGTCCAGATTAGAAATAAATGACGTCTCGTAAAATGTTGTGGCTGATCAAAGCCCATAAAATAAATTAGCACGTAGCTGATGAGGGGCGGGGCGGACTGGGGACATTTAGTCCTAAATGGTGAATCATTCTGATCTTTTAGAGATGGGTCGAAACAACCAGACAAATAAAAAAATTAAAACTATTCATATTAAAGAAAGCTCAGTACCTAAAGTAATGCTCAGACTAAAAATTCAGCTCGTGCAGATGTTGAATTTACCTGGACTGCCCAGACCCCCCAGAGCTCCACTGCTTGAAGACAGAGGGTTGGCTGAACTTGGGCTGCCAGAACTCTGGGCTGCGGCTGCGGCCAACGTGGCCAAGTTCTGCAGCTGAAGAGGATTCACACCTCCTGAGAACACAGCGGGGGGAGTGATTTTAGAGAAGAGACATGCTTGTGCTTACGTTTCTGCAGACAAACGGCACAAAACAAAGAACACAACCCAGAAAACATTTAACATTTCTGAGTTGGGTCAGGGATATTCTTAAAGCTACGTGGACAAAACATGCCAACAAGTTATTCTGGGACATCTTCAGGATGCTATAGCTATGTGACTTAATGTCTAACAGCTGTGTGCACCCTGCTCTAAAACACAGCGACATCACTGTACTTTCAAGGTGCAGCTTCAAAGCAACGTGTCCATTTTCTATTTACACCTCATCGTGAAAATACAGTATTAACTGTAAGCTCAGACATTAAATCACGTCCACAAACAAAAACAGCTGCACTGTGCTTTCTTCTCATCCTGACTTGCATCTGTTCAGTCAGCCTTTGTAGGTTTACAGCAGCTGCACCGATTTATAACGCGCCACTGATCTAAAGTCATTCGCAGTGCCTGAAACTGTGCAGGCAGAAAGAACCGTGTCCGAGCTGGTGACAGGAAAAGTGGTACCTTCATAATTTACAGGCCAAGTCTTGAGAAGAGTAGTTTTGATGTATAAATGGTATAAGCTCACCTCCTAGCCTCTGAAGGTTATTGAAACTGCCTTGACTACTGGTCGACGTGGCCTGCTGGAGCAGCTGTGGAGAACACACGGCACAACACAAATCAACTACAAATACCTGCAGTGATTGTACAGCGTTTTAGGTACATGTGATACATGGTACATGTGATACATGGTACATGTGATACATGGTACATTTAGGTACATCTGTTTCATGTTGCTGTGTTCATTTGTACTCGTCTGCTCACAGACTCATGTTCATGCTGCTATTTGACGTATTGTTTTTGTACTACTAGTGCTTAGTGTATTTTTAGTTATCATTTTTCTTAGTTCATATCTTAGATCTTATTACTGTTTTTCTTTTACATTTTATACTTTGTTGGATGTAACTGGGACCCTGTGTACACAATTACATGTGGTGGAATGAAAAGTAAAGAACCTTGAATCCTTGAACACGACGAGTTTAGTTTAGGTAGAACATCAAAACTAAGACCAGTGCCTTCATGCTAACAGATAAATAAATTCATAATATGCTGCATTTGCTTTTAAACGTTGCCGGACCATTTTTCCTGTAATCAAAACGCATAGTTCTTAAATGATGAAATGGCAGCTTGACAGTTCTTGTCCTGGTTTTCTTGGCAGAAAAAACAAACAGCTCGTCTGTTCATGTTTAAGTCACGTGGTCTTTGGCTCAGAATTACAAAAGTCACATGTGACCATTCTTTAGCCAGAACACAAACTGAGTGGGAAGATGTTCCTACTCCGGGCCAAGGGAATCAGTTTATAGTTCTGGTATGATTTACAAACAATATTTTAAAATGTTCCACTCTGAGGAGTCACCATTTACAAAGCTGACTGAAACCAAACACCCAAGAACAAATGTTAAAACATCACTGTCACCCCCACCATCACACCCTTCCTGTCTCATTTTTACATCTATTGCTGTAGCCGCGTAGTTTTTCTACAAAGCCACAAACAAAATCTTCCTCAAACCTCTGCTACCCGACATATTTCCATGCTTCTATTTACCTAGTAATATTTCTATGTTTTCTAGCCTTGTAGTTCCAGCTCTGTACAGTTATTAGTTGATAAGAACATTCTGCAGAGGTTATAATAGTACCAGGTGTCAACCTGTGTTGTTGTGATTTTGCAGATTTTATTGTTTGTTATTAACCAGCTCATTGGTTAACCTTTAGTTTTTACCCATGCTATACAAATAAAACTGACATTGACAATACAGGAGTAATTGTGCAGCTCATCTAAAATGTGTATTTGAGCATCACTTACAGCTAGGTATTGTGGCGTCATGGTCCCGAGCCCTGCCAGGTTTCCCCAGGGGGCGTTGTTAAGCTGCTGGATTTGATGCACTAGCTGCTGCTGCAGGCGACGCTGCTCCTTATCCCTCTGCGTGTCGGCAAACTTCGCCACCAAAGGCGAGGAGCAGCCCTGAAGCGGTAAGAGGTAGAAGACGTTAGAGCGGTTTCAAAGCACACAAAGGAATTAATCCTTTCATCAACAACGCAGTCACACTGTGACAAGAAATTAGCTTTGACATGCATACATATCAAAGCTAATACACACAGGACATCTGCCATGCATAGTTGAGCTAGGCTACATTCCAGAACAGGTACAGGACACTGGTGCAGACAGTGAACTGTTTTAACGCTCTGCAGGGCTGACAGTCAGTCCACAGATAAAGCACACAACAAATGAACACGTCTGAAAGGAATACATACATCCAAACATGGACTTGTCAGCAGACATTAAGAAAAATGCATTACAGTACACAAGATCTTGCAAACACACAGTCACATGTTGTTCAGACAAGACGCATGGACAAAGCATGCGGTGCAAACGGTTTGAGTTGAGCCAGACGGGGACCAGGCTGGATAGGGAAAATGGCTTCTGCACCAACAGCGCCTCCCACAGCTGCTTAAAAACAAGGGAGGATATGATACGGGGGAAGTAGGTGGTACTTCCAGTGGGGCCCAAATTTAATCTGGAAGGAAAGCGTTACGTTTGGTTGAACTCCTATTTAGACTTGGTCCAACACCTCACTGGGGAGCCTCTGACCTAGCTGTCAAATTATTGCTGCTCTACTTCCACAAACACTTCCCTGGCTACACTGGAGCACAGTCCCAGTTTCTGAAAGGATCTGGTGTAGCCTACATTCATTTCTTGTTAACCAGTTTTTTTTTTCATCCCCTGTGGTCCAAAATATAGACAGACAAATTTGTAAAGGCTAAAAATATCAGGCTCAATGAGATGCATTTAGTTCATCCTAAAACTAGATGGTTGCCGTTCTTGTTGCCTCTTGTCATCAACTTTGATCAATTATTTTGCAGACAATAATTTATTGTTTTAATGGGCAAGAGCAGTTTTGGAAATGACTCATGCTCTGATGAATGCCATCCGTTTGGGCAAGCTTTTCATCTTTCCAACACAAGGGGGCAGCAAAATGTATGAGGGGAGGAAAGGAGTAAATGAGAAATAGGTGCTAGGGGTACAGTACCTCCATAGTTTGAGAGTGATGCATGGTTTTGATTGCATTCTGTGCCATTGCCCTGGTAGCAAATGTGACAAACGCACAGCCTGTAGGGGGGGGAGGGAAACAATAGGAGAGGGGGAGGAGGGAGGGAGGGACAAGAAGAAACAAAACAAGACAAAAAAAGGTTTGGACAACTCGTTATGAACCCCAAAAAAAGACATTACAGTACAGAGAATGGCAACTCCCAAGCACACAGAACCACCCTCACTGGTTAGCACATGGAGAAAGAACACAAGAACAGTAACACGTCACATGAGCACAATGATCAACAGATCCTGTTGCCGCCTATAGAAGAGGCTCAAATATGTGGTGTCACGGTGAGACAGTCAACATGATCATATGGACATAAAATGCAAACAGTGATTTGCAAAAATAAATAAAGCCTGCAAACATACAAAAAAATAATTAAGCTTATCTGAATTTGAAGACGATTCTTACAAATAAGTAAAAACGGCGACAATCCATAGCGTGCTTGGTGGGGTTTCATCATATACCGGTACACCCCCGTTACAGCCCCCCGCTGACTGCTATATGAGACTTTACGCAGCAGAGAGCTATGCAGGAGATGCAACGAGACGGTAATTCCAGCCTTTGCGGTGTGTGATTAAGGAGGTGGTAAAGGAGCAGCTGAGCCGCCCGCCAGCTGAGACTATGAACACCAGCAGCTAGCAGTTGCCAGGGCAACGGGCCATTGTGCCGGACAGCAAATGCAGCGGCTCTTTACTGTGACGTGAGGAGGCTAAGAGTCACAGTGAAGGCTATGGGCAAAGAAAGGATGCTTCTGGAGGTAAATAACTTTAATTTAAACCTAGCAAGTCTCAAATAAAGAGTCTGTATAAAATCTACATGAGATCCTCGGCTATGCAGAAGGTGTGAAGCTAAGAAGGCCGAGCTGGTACACTAAAAGCACACCTACCTCTGCTCTGACCATCCGGTCCTCTGAGAATTCGGCACTCTTCGATCTGTCCAAAAGACGAGAACATCATTCTGACCTCGTTCTCGCCATATTTTTTCGAAACCATTCCCACGAAGAGTTTTCTGTCTTCCACTGCTGCAGATGGATCAAAACACACAGTTACTATGAAAGCAGTGCTCATATCAAATCTTGCACCCTTCTCTCCTTGTGATGCTGCAGCATGTTCTGCCTCTCACTCAAAGTCCCAGCTTCTTGTGCAGATCCTGGCACTTTGCTTTGTTTTGCTCTACATCACCTCTCAACACACTGCAGCATACATCTGACCTCAAAGAACGCTCAGTACCTCTTCTTCACCGCTTGCATAACCCATAAGAATCATATTGCAAAAAATGGTGTATTTTTACATTATTCTAAATAAAGACAGTTTCAGTCTTTTATATCAGAATCTACCCCAATTTTGCAGCTTTATTACTTTAAATCTGGTTTCATAAACACTTTCAGTGTCATTACCCCACATTTAAAATAATGGGACCTACCACTTGTTTTCTCACTGTCAGCGGGTTTCATCTGGATAGGATGATGCATCTGAAAGGAGAAAAAAGCAACACATTATCCTCCTTCGTTGGTATAAAGTATGCAGGTGCTTGGCCTGGTTTTATCACAAACATTTCTTATTTTCATTTTCACATCCTCACATTTTTTGAGACAGCCTCTTGTTCAGTCATTAAGACCTTGATCCCTCACATTGCCACACTCAGGGGGTGTCTACTGGTGAGTATCAAATTCTACACAATCCAATCTTCCTTCTAGCTCTAGTATTGGCTTCTGATTTAACTTATTGATTTTTTTCTTTACAACATCCTTCAGTTTTATGAGTATTTCAAGAAATGGATGACAACCACAGAAGTTCAGTACTGTTTCAGAGAGTAGAGTTTTTTATAATGCTGCCTTTACACCTCATCTACCACCTACAAATGGAACAAAGCATTCACAAATAGCTGTGAAAATCTAATCTCAGCCTGAACAAGCTGCTCAGTTTCAAGCTTGGCATGAGAGAACATGAAAGCAGAGTTGCTGTTTTAGGATCTGTCATTTCATGCCCTTTTAATAAACACTTTCGTCCCAGGGGAGTCAGAGCTTTAAACAGATGTAGCTACAGAATATTTACAAATGAAATGAAAAGGAAAACGTAGTCATTCGATGCATATCCTAGCTGAAAAGTGCTGGGATTGTTTGTGACGAGCTCTAAGAGGGGAAGTGAACAGATGGCCTGCTCGGTATGGACACCGGCTAGCGTCAGCGACCAAGCAGAGGCACAGAAGGGACAGAAAAGAAAAAGTGAAAGCTTTTCTATGACTGTGACACAAAGCAAACTCTGTCACCTGCATAAATGCCAGTAACAGCAGGATCCCGGATTGGGATTTGAGAGCAGAGCTGTTGATCCACACTTTATTTGAAACGTCTCGCTGATTGATAGTCTTCCAGTGAACAGAGTTAGGACTGTTTGCTCAGCCCACTGAACTCATCCATCAACCCAGTTCAATATGTACCTATAACCTCCCCAACAGTGGCTCTTTTTACAGAAGACTTGCCTACAGTTTTAATTGACAGCTTGAAGCTGTTTGGTATGGATTAAATCGATTGGAAAGAGCAATTTAGAACGATTCACAGGCCTGACAGATTTGTAGCAGTTTAACAAGCTGCTGCACTTATTCCACTCGAGTGGTCTTCAATCTCTTTGGATAAATCAGGTGATGAGCTATGAGGGCACACTCAAGAGAGACTACTTCCGATTTGAGACTTGCCCTCTTTTATAGATCTTAGTTTGAAGGAAGAAAAATTACATGTGCAAAAACAATTCCTCAGGGACAGGTGTAATTAACTTGTTTAACTTGGTGGTGATCGAGTGCTCTGCCTCAAGCAATGATCAACACCACGGCTGAAAACTTTACGTTTGCATTCGTGTTTGGGACGATCCATTCAAGCATCATCAGGTTCAGGGCAGTCCTCAGTAGTGCTTGCTACAATGGGTTGAAATGTTTCCCGGGCTAGGCAGGCATTCAGTGAACCGAGAGCCCATTACTGGCCCGAACACAGCTCACAGCCTGCACCGGAGATGTAGGGGGGCTCGGGCAGCTAAAATCAGCCCATGCTGTGCTTACTCACCCCACTTAAGGTCTTTATGTTGTGCAGTGCATTCTGGGCCTCCAGTGCAGCTTTTCTTGTATAAAAAGTTACAAAACAGCATCCTAGAAAGTGAAAGAAAAAAAAAAAAAAAAAGAGGGGGACAAACAATGGATGGGGAGAAGGAGACAAAAACAACATTAAAAACACGGCACATAACAACAGTAAATTTAATAACGACCTGATTGCTACAGAACAGAGGAGATGCAAGGGTGTGTCACGTTTGAAATGTGGCAGGATATTCTTGGCACCAACGGTGAGATGGTGCACACCGCCCATGTGGGGGGCTGCATCAAGAACTCAACAGTGATGACTTAGATGAGGCTGTGACATGGCCACAGAGACAACCACGAGGTTAGATAGTGGTCATAGGACACTGACGCACAGTTGAAGGGTCAACAGAGCCTGGGCACGCCAGGGCAGAGAAACATGTTTGCTGGAGAAATTCCACATCAGAAGCTAACAGTCTAACATTAACAAACACACTTTAGGCATATGAACAAAACAAAGAGACAAAGGGAGCAAATGCAAAAAGATAGTGGGGGAAGGGATAAAGAAATAAAAAGCAGGGTGAAAAAAGAAGCCTCTCATCCTTCCATCCCAGCAGACCGCCAGTGGCGTTCCAGCCTGTCAGTTTCACTGGGTTGGGGAAGTGGAGCACTGCAGCGTCTCTGACCTACATAGTGTGTATTATTCTGTTACTGGAGCTCCCAGGCCGTGGGGAGGGCTGCTGAACTCTAATATGCATCAAGCTGCACTCCTCTTTCACAACCAGCTGAGCGGTCGCTTTCTCTGCTGCTTGGCCTGGACACCAAGCTAGCTAAAAATACCAGAAAGACGAAGATAGTCAAATGATTTCTGTGACCTAAAAACCACGAGTCTGATGTTCCCCAGTACAACTGTGGCAAAGTGAAACAACCAACACTGACGCAGAATTTCAGCAGTTTAAAAAGAATGGCTGCAGAACAGCAACGTGCAGGGAGCATCCTTTATCGCAAAGCATAAGCCAGATATCACCAGGTCATGTTTTAGGTAAAAATCACTCCATCTCAGTGGAAGCTCGTGGTAATGGTGTCGCTAAGCAAATTCAACTCGCACAGGCTTAGTGAGCTAAAGACTGCAGTGATCAGGCCAGATTATCTACCAGAATACATTAACATTGCATTAACATGTCAATAGGACATCACAGCTGACACTCTGAAGAAATGGGGAGGGACTGCCTTTAAAAAAAGGGGGCTTTGAACTTTTTTAATGAACTGCACTGTTCCGAGTGTCTGCATGTACACTTGGAACAACAAGCTTCATTGGTCGTTTTCTAATGAACAGTTTAAAAACAGCTGAATTTGATACAAGAGTAAAAATCCTGGTTATTTTAATGTTCTGACAACATGACGAGCTGTCTTGATGTCAAAGAAAATGTTTGAGTTATAGACAATTTGGACATTTCTAGAAAGCAAAAATAAAAATTTATTCTACTTCAATCTAAACCAGTTGAAACTGTCCATATTAAAGTAGAAAAATTAAAACCACCTGTGCATTACACAACCGTACAGTTTCTTTTGTCCTCATAAACGCACGACTAGGTTAGAAATGGAGATTAGAAATATGGCAAGGGCTGTAGAGTGTCATTAAATTGTCAGCTTGTTATTCTAAAACTTCAATAGCCACTAACCATTTGCCTGCAATTTTGGGGTGTTTTGGGGTACCACAAAGGGGTTGATTTAGGAAGTCTACAATCAGCATAGTCCCATATTAATCGTGTACAGACACGATGTGCTGTACACTGCTGCAGGGGAAAGAGCTCAAAGCAAAGGTATGTTCAGAGTACTCAGCACTGTTTGTTTTTATTAATAAAGCTCTCCATGATGAGCTATGGACTCCATTTCACTCCCCAATAAACACATTATGACATTAAAGCTATTCACAATTTCTTTGGTTTTAACTTTAAATGTTTACCTTACAAAGACATTAATGTGCAACTTTTAGCTTAATGTTGCTAGCAGAAAAATACATTCCATGAGAAACTAATTTTGTGCTGGCTTCACGCCGTTTGTTTTGATCATTAAATGAACCATTGAATTAACAGCGTGGTCGACCATTTAATCAGGTCTAAGGGAACAAGCAAAATAATTTATACTTTGCAACTTTGGAAGGTAAACTACCACTGAAACATTTAGGGTCATTATGATATTAACATGGTCAACCTTGGATTTAAAATAAAACCACTGACTACATTTACATTAAGTTACAGTGTTCAATGGTGTGACATGCAGAGCTTTAAATTTTTAAACTCTGAAATAGGGCAGGATTAAATATTTATTGAGGCGAGACTCTTTGGGTATCTCACAAATCGTTTAGGATTCTGAGGTCTGCAAAGTAATTATTAAACCATTTCAATCATGAAACTTCTGTGACATATTTTACATAAACCATTGATTTATGTCACTGAATGTCTAATAACGTGAACAATAACGTAAAAAAATAAACTATCAAGCTACGGACTATCAATTAGGATATATGCCAACTTAACATTGAGAACACCAAAGTTGACATTAACAGTGTTCATCACTGAAATTTAAAAACAAATGAACCGTTTCAAAGTCAATGCTAAAGACAGTCATGCTTTGATTTCAATATTTATAAAGCTTAAAGTTCTCAAAAGTGACAGAACTTTAAGCTTTAATGCAACACGTTTCTACCACAGGAAGCTACTGTAACTCTACTAGGACGTTCAGCATCGTGCAGCGACTACTCAACATTAACAAAACCAATTTAGTTGTTTTAAAACCCAAATAAGTCTTCCATGTGCACAAGGTTATCCATCTAAAAATGTAATCTTACCTCCCACATTGATAGGTCAAATTGTCATGGGTTGTCATGTCCAATTAATAGAATATCTTAAATATAAAAACAATTTTGTTCCAAGCGTCACTACTTCATGGCTCTATGCAGTAGAGCTGTCATTTCTAATCCGAACACGAAACCCAGCCCAACCTGGATTAGGGCCGGTCCGGGCCGTCATGTGATTAATGTGCGGGCCAGGCTGGTCTCGGGCTTTGATGCGGTTTTGCGAATCGTACTGCGCAAATAAAATGAGAGATTGAAGAAAGAAAGAAGAGTGCCGCTGTTAATCAGACTGCGGAAGAGATCGCTGGCGCGTTGCGCAATAATTGCGTACGTGGGCTCAGGTTTCTGCAGTTTTGCGAATCATACAGGAAACTAAATAAGAATGCACAATATAAAGTTGTGTTAACTACTTCTTGAGGAGGAGGCAGGTCCAACCGGCCGGTTTAAAGAGGTTTAAAACTGTCGCATTAAGATCAGATGGACAACTTGTCACTGGCCGCGCGTCCGTTGACTCGCCGGTGGAAATGGACTGGAGACCTGTCCAGGGTGTACCCCAACTTTCGCACAGTGACTGATGGACATGGGCACCAGCGACCCCTGCTACCCGAAAAGGAAGAAGCGGGTAAAGATAATGGATAGATGAATGGATCAATCAGCTGATCACTGGATGTGCACGTCTCCGCACCTGCCGTCATCTGCGGTGAAGGAAGTAGCAGCGTCTACAAAAGCCGACGCGAGCAGAGCGTTCAATTAAAATAGCCTTGTTTTATATTGTTCCAAATAACTTTGCTCTAAAAATATTTTTGTTCATCTGTAGAATAGTTTATCTTTAGAGTTGATTTTTTAGGCTAATCGCTTTGTATGTTAATATCCATTTGGTGACTTGTTAATAAACATAAATCTTGTATCTTCCTTTCATTACGTTTTTAAAATTACCATGTCAAATTGATTTGCTTACAAAAGCAGTAAAAGCTTAAAAAAATAAATACATTTAAAAAAAAATTGGGTTCGGCCCTCTAATTACCGGTAATCTGTTGGGTCCTGGTCCGGGTAGGGCTCAGGAGAAGAAAAAATATCTACGGGCTCGGTCCGGTCCAGATTTATTAGGCCCAAACGCAACTCTACTATGCAGGTGAGGAATGGCACTTAACTCTATAACCACGTTCCAGGCTTCATCACAACTGACATGTTGCTCAAGTAAAAAGACCAATTCATAGATGGTATCTCACGGGGCTGCGACTGCTTGGCAGACGGCATTCATGGGGGCGTCTTCCTAATTGTGCTGTGGGTGTCTCCAACCAACCTCCAGAGCATTATAGTTGTATTCCAACACCTGCACAAGTTCTCTCTTGACAAAAAACACCCGAGGCACATATTTAGGTCTAAAAACCACACTGCTGATAAAGAATAATTACTTAAAACTGGTCCAAATCTGCAAATCTTCATTCCAGAAGTGTCCACCAGTAGCTTAAGCCAAAGGTGGGTCCAAAACGAGCGGAGGTGAACAACGAACGCATTATAATAACCGTGCACATGAAAAACAGGCTGCGTTGTTTTTTGGTTTGTTTTTAAACTGGTCTCCTGAAATGCGGCCTTGAGGCTCTCCAGTCACAACCGTAAACGCTCAGTTCAGTGAAACTGAACAGAAAATATTCCAGCAATTTTGGGTCACCAATTCGCCTTTTAACAGTTTCAGCTTAGTGAGATTGCACCTTCATAAACCATTTCTTTCTGCTACGCAAAGTACTGAGACTCAGCTGTGAACCAGTGACACCACTTTTAAGACATCTTCATGTCAAATACGTCACAGGTCTGGCTAGCTACCAGTACTCACAATTTAAAACACTAGAACCCCACAGTATGGTAAGTTAGGTATCCAAATACATCAATAAACACAGATTATTATGTGACTGTACACAGTCCATAAATGAACTGCACCAGCTCAGTTTCATCAGAGCTACTAAAATGTTCATCAAAAATGTATGTCAAAAATCAAGAGCACACCTTGGCCATGCTGACCAGTCAACGAACCCAATAACTAAACTGTAGAAGAAAAGTCTACTTCATAATTAATGCCATGACAGAAAGGTTGAACCAAAAATCCTTCCACCTGACCGTACCTTTGCTCTGAGGAGGGTTCTGGGTGCGATCACGGAGAATGTTGATCTGGAACACTGGGCCATAAGGCTCAAAAAGCTCTTTCAGTTCAGTTTCTGACCAGGAGCGTGGAATCTGTCCCACAAACATCTTGATTGTATCTGGGTCTGGCTGGTCCATGTGTTCCAGTGATCCGTTCATCTTGCTGCCGTTGCTGAGGACAAAAAGAATAATATTCTGATTAACATTTTAGGTAAATTAAAGAAGGTTGCATCTTCCATCATTTTGTCCTTGTTAGGTTTACTTAATACAGACCAAACAGTGAAATCTATACAAGGCAACAAGAACCATAGAGGACTCGGTAATCTGCTATCAAAATGATGGCAATACACCCCCCCCCCCCCTTTAAATTTTGTAGTCACAAGTACCGTCCCGTTTCAGAGTTAAACATAAATAAGGAAAACTACTAAAATGATGAAATGCACTAATTTGATGGCTTAGAATTGTAAATGGACTGTACTTGTATATCACCTTTCTATCTAATCAAGATACTCAAAGCTCTTTACACTAGAATCTGTGCCTCATTTACCCATTCATACAGCTCTATACTAGATCTCTACAAAGCTAATTGAACAAATCATTCTAAAGAGACTAATCAGAGTTTTATCACATTCATACACTGATGGGACACACATCAGAGGCAACGAGGGGTTCAATGTCTTGCCCATGGACACTTAGGCATGTGACTGTTGGTGGATTCGAACCCCCAACTCTTGCATTGGAGGACGACTGCTCTAACCACTCAGCCACAGCCGCCAAAGAATGACTTAGTAAATTAAATTTGTTTTTGACAGCCGAGTATTTCATCTTAACTTTGTGCAAGAGCGTCCATTTCCTACAGAGTAATAATAAAGTCTGATGCAAAGATGCACAGGAAGTCCTAGGAGCTTTAAACTGCTCCTCCTTTTCATCCATTTTAGATAATGGTCACACTGGTGCTGACAGAAGTTTGAGCAGCTCTAAGAAACACAAAGGAAGTGACGTAGGCCTTCTCATAGGTCAAAACTAAACAGTGTCTGAGTTTGTTCTGCTTAGAGATAAAGAAATTAGTTCTCATTTTGAAACAATGTCGTCTCAAGACTCGTTTTTCAGACAATATTTTAAGATAACACATTGTCATTAACGCATTTTGTCACTAAAATTAACCAAAAAAAGTTGGACATTACTAGATTTCAGTCGTAAGTAGTTATGAGAATGAATAACTAATAGAGCAACCGAAGAAGATGGGGTATTTACATAAAGAAAATACTTGCTAATATCTGACATGCCTTATTTTGAATACAGGGTACAACTATTTATTAAATCTCATTTAGTTTGTTGTAAGGCTGTTCAAAGTTGATTCACACATTAAAAAGCTTTAATTGCTATGAAAGCATTCCAATAAGTCCTCATCTTAAGTAATTATCAAGTGGCTCAATAATATTGCACAAGGGGTCCAATTTAAATAAAAATGAATCAACAAAAAAGAGAGACCCTCAGAATGTGCTATACTGAGTGCATAATTGGGTAGATCACATATTTGTATGGGAACAGTTCATCTACCTGACCTACAAGTAAAACAGAGTATATTTAAGAAGTGATGACTTCTTCCAATGTTCACACAAAAACAGAAGCTAGTCTCTTTTTTATATAGTTCACGTTGAGCAACTATTTGTGTGGTCTTAACAGTAATAGTGAGAGATCAATGAAATCCTGAAGTGTGCAGTTTACTTTGAGGCAAGAGCTAGAGACAGAATCAATATCCACCAGCATGTAAACATCTACACCTTAGTGTCCAACACAAAAATCAGTCCAACCTTTTCTGACTGGGGAGGAAAAGGGACTGGGAACCAAGACAGAAAGTGAAACCTACTCAGGCGCCGATTATGTAAAAACATGTTAACATTAACCAATAAACTAAAAATACTGTGCAGAATAAAGAGGCAAGTTGATCCAAAACATGAAGATTATGTAATGCAAGGTTGATAAAGTTCCTACATGACAAACAAATGAGTTGTAGCAAAAAGCATTTAAACAGACCTTTGGACACGAGCCATCCATATTTTACAAAACGAGCCCAGTCTTTCCACAGAAACACCAAACTCCTTGAGGGACTTCAACGACATGCTAACAAATCACTTCAGCTCTTGTTCTTCTGAAAGCCAACTCTCCACCTTGGTACAAACTGTTTCTTTCTCTCCTGGAGCCTTTCAGTATAATCAAATCATAACAATCCAAAGGACGCTTTGGCAAAACAAAAGCCAAAAACAGGGGTAAATGACCCAGCTTCAAACAGCTTTGAGAAAACAAGCAAAACAAAGCTCTAAACCTTAAAGAACTGCTGGTTAGCAGGGAGAGAATCTGCAGAGCATCTTCTCTTCAGGAGCTTTGGCGATGGTACAGAGAGTAACCTACGGCTTCGCTGCCACAGCGGGGGAACAATGTGTGATTGTTCCCCCATGCTGGAGAACGCTATTCACCGTTCCTCCGCAGCACAATAGGCCAAGTCAGAGAGATGCTTTGCAAAATAACAGAGAGCCTCGACTGCTAGGCCGCAGCCCTGGTGTGCGACACCATTTTCACCAGTGGCACTCTGACACCGTTTTGCTGGGGGCTTTTTGGTCAAATCTCTCAGCAAACAGAAAACAAACCTCTCCTGAAAAACCAGATTTGTGACAAATGACTGGAAAACACGACGGCTCCCTGGTCACAAAGTTGTCTAAACATTCACAAAGCCCCAACATTATCATTTTGTAGAAACTGCTCAAAAGCAATGTACCAACAATAGTATTTTTAGCTATTCTACTCACAACTTTAATCCCTTTATGTTGGTTTGATTAAATCTATTAAATCAATTAAATTATGTTGGTTTGGTTAAATAAATGCAAAAAAATTGCTTCATATAAAAAAATTTTAACTACAGACTTGAGGGCCAACATGGGATAGAGGCAGAGCAGCCGACTTTGGACCTGAAAGTCCCAGGTTCGATCCCCAGTCATTGCACATCTCGTGGTGTCTCTGAGCAGCACACCCCATCCCCAAATGCTCCTTGGGTGCCCCCAATAGCCGCCCACTGCACCACCTGGTGGTGGATGGGTTACATGCAAAGAGTCAGTTTTGTCATTGTATGGGAACTTACAATGATGACAACACATTATTATTATTATTAAACCAGGTGTGAATTTAAACTGTGCTTGTACTTGCATTACTGATAGTGTTGATAAATTGTGCGGCTCTAGTACGAAGTAGAGCTCAGCCGATCGTCGACACAGATATTGGGAGGGCAAGGCAACCGCCGATAACAAATATAATGGCTGAAAAATTATGAGCTTTGTCCACCCCCAAGAATCTAAGAAAACAGTGAGTGGAGCAGAGCTTGTTTATTTAGCACAGCTGTTAGCAATCATGAAGCTAAGCTAATCAGATCCACGCTATATACACCTAGTCTCTCGCCAGGTTTACAAGGGGTGTGCTGGTCATAAAAACAGTCTTCCTAACGTGCGTTCACTTTTTCTATCCTCAACTCTTCACCATAAAGTTATTACGCGTTACATAAATATAAATTAAAGGAACACCCTTTTCTGTTCATTGTTTAAACACTCATGTATGCTGAAGGTCTAACTAGTGTTGACTGCAGCGGCGGTTGTTTTTCTTTGTAGAGAAGATTTCAGACAAACAATCTATTTCATTGAGAACGACGAAGATAACATTACTAACACCGATATATTTAGAGCTACTTTAATATTTATTGGTCTACAACAACCTAAATTATCGGCCATACCGATTAGAGCTGGGCGATCTCAATATTTTAAAAATAAGGTTTTTTCCCCCAATATAAGATGAGACTATATTGATATGGTGTTATACTTGAAAATCCTCCTGCTGTCTTCTTTCTCCCACGCGGCCCCCTCCTTGAATACAAACACACAGCCCCTCAGCCGTGCTCTCCCCACTTCCTCAGGAGGTGGGCGGGAGACGTTAGCACAACACTGGCGATGTGAAGAGTAACTTTGCTGCTGAACAAAAAGAAAAAATGGCTGTTCTTTTGGAGATGGTTTGGATTTAGATTGGAGCAGAAAAATGATTTCTGTAGACAATGTTGAAAACAAGTCCCGACAAAAGACCAGAACTACGAATCTTTTTCACCATTTAAAACTAGGGATGCACCGATCCACTTCTTTTACTTCCGATCCGATCCCAATACCTAAATCTGAATATCGGCCGATACCGATCCAGTTCCGATATCATGATCATCATTGATTTTATATGAGGCTGTAATAATCTCCTCTCAAGTACAATTTGTACAAATATATGCATGCATGTCCAAAATGGCAACTCGAGGTAAGTTTTATTAATGTTGGATAAATTTTAAAGTTAGAATTAAATTCTGCTAACACAAAACATGTTTAAAAAAGTTAAATCTGGTCCTCTGGACATTCAAAAAAACAAAACAAAGCAAATCAACAAAAAAATGTAGAAACGTTTCGTCTCTCATCCGAGAGACTTCCTCAGTCTGAGGTGCTGTTTTCAGCTCAGTCTCTTAAATAGCACCTTCTCAGAGTGGATCAACCAGTTTGCTGCTGACAACCAAAACCAGCTGATCAGCTGATTTTTGAATGTCCAGAGGACCAGATTTAACTTTTTTAGATTTTTCTACCTGGATTATTGAGCATGCATCAGGACAAAACATGTTTCTTTTTATTCCTAGCTTTAAAGTGGATATTAAAGTGATTAAGTGATTGTTTAAAGTTATTTTTTTTTTTTTTTAAATAAGGGGCAGATATAAGAATTTTTTTTTTTCTTTCTGCACTCTTTTCATTCTGTTTTCTTTTTGATGATTTTTTTTCTTTTAAATGAATGAATCCAAAGAGATCGAGATTATATAATATATTATATTATATATATATATATATATATATATATAAAACCCAATACCAATATATCGTTTGGACTCTAGTATTAAGTACAGGAAATGAGCTCTTCAATAATTTTTCTCAGTCCCTTACCATATTGAACCATATTGCTTTTAAATGTAACAATAACAACAAAAAAACTTGTTTAAATACTATCAACTTTATTTTTATAAAAATCATTGTTTTTGTGTTTAGGGATTACAGCAAAAATGAACTGGTGAGTTTGTTTTAAAGCCGAGAGGGCTGCACAGTTAACAAAATAAATGTGTAAAGGTCTGAATATTAAAGTTAATATGTAGTCTGGTGTTTAAACGTCATAAACTGTAATAAAAGTAACACACGCACACAATGCTGATATGAAGTTAGACGAGATACTTAATCTAAAGCTATACTGATTTGGTTAGTAATTACGATTTCTGTTCACATAGTTGTAAAAGTCTTCTGCCGAGTGTCCACAAACAGCTCCACAATGTGGCAGATCAACATGCTTCAAGGCTTCACAGCAGCTCACGAGTCACTCACATTCAGAGCCAGGACAGTCACACGTGTACGGCTGCACTGCCCAGAACCATCAGATGATTTATCTGGACCATGCGTGTGCTGTTGGCATACCAGCAACATCTTTGGTGTGCTTTGAAAGGGAAGACAGCTATTCCATCTCATTATCCCGTCTTTTTCCAAGTTCAGCATGCGTGTTTGGACTGTAGTCCAACACCAACCAGAGTCGCAGCAAACACTGCATGATTTTGTAGAAAACTTTGGCATCTGCTGTAGAGCAGTAGTGGCAACACGACAGCTCAGTGGTTAGCACCGTCGCCTCACAGCAAGAAGGTCCTGGGTTTAATCCCCGGTTGGACCTGGGGTCTTTCTGTGTGGACTTCGCATGTTCTTCTCATGCTTGCGTGGGTTTTCTCAGGGCACACTGGTTTCCTCCCACAGGCCAAAAACATGCATGTTAGGCTGCCTTCAGACCCAGGCCTCCGTTTCAAGAGATCTGTGATCTCATGGGATTTGCCTGGATAAATAAAGGTTAATAATAAAGTAGCTTTAATTTCTAATTGGTTATAAGTGCCTTTTTGTAATTACTAGCCACCCTTTGTTTTTAATGGTACCTTTATTATGGAAATACTCAATAAGATTGATTTAAAAAAAAAAAAATCTGTCAAACAAAATTAATTAGGTCCATGTTCCAAAAAACTGTTTACAGAAGGAAAAGTAAATCTTATTCTTAACCGTTTGCCAGAGGCTGTTTTTGTAATCATGTAAAGTCAATAGAAGAACAGTTCACGTTTTATCCTCAGCTGTTCCTTTCACTATACCAATGTCCACACAAGCATCCTTAGAGACAAGCTGCATCCAACGCTTTCTGCAGATACATCAACTCAAGTAGATCCAAAAAGCCGTCTAGTTTCTAGTTTTATCCATTTTCTCCTAATCTACAAGGAGAGAATTATTTCAAAGAGGAACTAGTTTCAAGGACTTGAGATAAAAGCATTCAGGCAGACTTGAAGGTGCATGAAACAAGCAAGCCACGAGAAACAAACTCACAGTACAGTTGAAGGACTCTTGATGAAGAATTGCTTTGACTTATGTTTTGGCAAAGGAAATGACAGCTAAAAAATTGATGTCGCTTCAGGCGATAAAACAGAAAAAGGGCAGTGTCATTTGATTTCCATACCAAGTGGGTGAGTTAATCAACAGACTGTTGTTCTGATGAGAAATTAAGATTTCTCCCTGCTAGCATCAACTCCAATTCAACTCTGAGTGGCCTAATTTCATTGTTGCATTTTCCCTGACGAAGACAGACGTGTTCAATCAGCCTCTGAACGGGCTGCGTGTTAACAGACGGCCAGCATCTGATGACAAGGCCAGCCCCATTAGCTCCATAATCAGACCAAGAGTCCCCGATGGGTATGCATGACGTAGCTGATTTAAAGCTTTTGTGGACCAGCAGTGAAATTTCATCCAAATGAGGAATTTATTCAAATCCTCAAGTGCAAGTACGTGTTAGAAACCACTCGTATGTTTAAACTTAGTGTGTGTATACCTTGAGTTTCCTTTTCTATGCATCTTATAGACTGCTCATAATGTTCTTATTGCCTTTTCAAATTTAAAAACAGATTCCCAGGAAAATAAAAGGGAATTAAAATACACCACATTAATAGGAAACGCCACAAAGAGCAGTTGTCTCCTGCTTCATCCAGAGATGTTTTGCCTGTTCTCACATGCTCTCAGCAATCAGCTGATGCTACATTTGAGAAGAGAACAAGTCTGTTCTCTTACAAAGACTAAAACCACACAGCCGACTCCACGTGAACAACAAACGCCAACCCCCCCTCGGTCACAGGCACACTGACCTGACCTACGCATAACCAAACTGATACTTAGCTGCACCATATGGTAGAAATCTCATGCTAATATTCAGCTTATAAATATTCCATCAGAGGTAAAAATACCTCTGATGGACATTTTTGTAACAACTTTGGAGCAAAATGATCATTTTACAACCCTGATATTGGTGTTATGCAACCATGTCCCCTCTTTTTTTTGTGTGTGTTTGCAGAAGTTGCTCAACCTTCAATCAAACCAGCCCAAGCTGGAGATAAAGGACATGCTCATGAGAATCTCAAGGCGGTGCATGTGGCTCCAGGGCAGCCAGCCTTGTAATTATAGCCTCCAAAAAAAAAAAAAAGTGTAAAAGATGTTGAGTGTTGAGAAACAGGTGACAAGTCAGATCAGCTCCCCCCTTTCTCATGGCTTTCAACATCTGGCTACACAGGACTCGATCTCAACCTGACAGCAAAAAGGGACAGAACAGCTGTCGAGCTGCTCCTAGACCCAGAGCAAAGACCCCATGTTTCACACCAATCCACAGCTCACTGGACGCAACAAAGGGGATTACAGTGACGCTTAGCTGACCCACTATGGCTGTGTCGGTTTCAAGAGGATCCCTGTTAGGCTGTGATAGACGGGCTGACTGTCCAGAACCAATCAGATAAATCAATTGAACAGAGCTCTGTTGAGATAACGCCATTTAGTACACGGCTTAAATGTTTGTTTATTCAGTGGAAATCTATCAGTAAGCTGAATAGTTTAGTCACAATTACAGTAATAACATCAGCGGTGCAGGTGAAGACTTGTAGTCAGCCAAAACTAGTTGAAATGCTAAGAGTCTTCAATTAGAGGAGCACATTTTTATAATCAATTACCAGAATACATTAGGGTTGTACAGTTGTTCTGTTTTTTATTTAAAGAAACTTGAAATTTGGCCTAAAGACAATCAGTCATGTACTCATTCATGAAATAGATCCATTTTAACTGTGCAATTTACAGTGTGATGTTCGGCTGTTGTTTTTGTTCACTTGTTTTATGACATTTTTATTTGTTTAACAAATGAAATTTAGCCGTTGTGCTAATTCCAGCGTATTTATACTTTTGTAATTTTGATTAATGAACACTGTCCTTATGCATAAATAAAATCTTAAACCTTAATTTAAAGAGATGAACCTCTTAAAATTGTTTTGTATTCGTGATCTAAAATCTCCCACCTAGAGAGTTCTTCCACAAACAAGACTTTCCTTTTCCACTGTCCTCTTAAACACACAAAAAAACTATGTTCTACCCAACTGGGTCTATTTAACATTACTTTAAAATATTTAAGCTTCATTAGTCTTATTTAGACTGCTTGTTCCGTGCTTTTATCAAACTATTGCTAAATGTTAGTGTCTCCGTCCCTCTTGTTTACATGTCTTGTCACAAGATTTCCATTAATGTTTAAATAAAAGCACCAAACCACGTGTTTTTCTGCTGTTCGGGCACATCCAACATGGACTCCCATGTCTGCGAGCTGCTGCTAAAAAAACAAAATTAGTAAAACGGCAGAAACACTGGGAGGGCGTCAAAAATCAGTACTTGCATTTTATAATCAACGTCAGCTAATAAAAACAAAATGTACTTTAAGCTCTTTAAGTCGCTTGACAAACACTTCCTCATTAGCAGACATTAGACGCCACCGGTTCAGGGCAGAGAACTTGTTTCCCTTAAATAATAATAAAAAATAAAAATAAAAAACAGCCAGGCTGAGTTTATACAGCTCCACTAAGACAAATATTTACCACGGACTCCGTCTGGACGAGCTACTTCAGGTTGTTTTTCTGAACCGTATGCTCTCCGGAAGCACATGTCACCGAGCCCAGCGTAGTGTCAAATAACGCGGCTAAGCTAACTGCGTTGTCTCCTCCAGGAGCGGAGCTTGGCCCCGAAACACGCTTATCCTCGGTGATTTGTTTCGTTCGACACGAATAATGCGGGTTCCAGCCTTTTTTTGTTCAAGTTTGACAAACAACTTGAACTCCAGACGGAGGAGCGAGCCCCGTTAGCATAGCAGTAAGCTAACGCTAGCTAACCCCCCTCCTTCTCCTACACCGCCCCGCAAACTGCTGTGAAACACTCGGGGAAAAGAGGCGAAAATGGCTCGATAGCTCGACTACTTACACAGAGTCGCTCGAAGTCATTAGCCGACTTTCCGAAAGAGGGAGGAAATCCAGGTTATACGTCGAAGTCATGCTCAAAACGACGTCGAACAATGAAGAAGAGACGCCCGCGCCGACCGAGCGAGAGGCTGAACTCCTGCGAGACGACGAGGAGGAGGAGGAGGAGACGGAGCGGAGCAGGTGCAGGCGGGGAGGGAGGAGACGGCTTCCTCTTCAAAAGGTGCTAAGATGAGGAGGGAGGGAGCACCGGTCCGCCTTGTTTCTCTCTCTCTTCGTCTCCGTGCGAAAATAACACCCGGACTGTCTCACGGAACTGCAGTGGAGCCGAGGCGTGGCCTGAACTACAAAAAGTCTGAGCCGCCATGCTGCCGCGCGAGCCCCTCCACGTGCACACTGCAGCTTTACGGTCAACGAGACATTTTTACACGTTCACTCACTAAACTACAAGTGTCCGGATTTTACACGT